TATGTTTGGGATTGATGTGAAAGTCACCAGCAGTGCTGGGAAGCTTGTATTACTAACTGTTTGTTGCACCCATCGCAATTGTATGGAATGAATAACAGCTTCACCAACAGTTCCTCCATAGACAATGTAGCCACCAACAGCGATCGATAAGTAGTAGAATGTGATGACTTAAAGAGAAATTGGATCTCTCGGAATTTCCAAACAAAAATCATTTACGGGTATATGCCACCCATACAGATCTCCCAAACAAACGTGGCTTTTTCATGTCATGTTGTAAAGTAGGAAAAGCACAATGGCCACCAAAAGCAAACACCATTGTTCCGTAAGCCATGAAGAAATATTGCCAATCGAACTGCCGTTGTTCAGATTCCTAGCAAAAAGGTGATAACGACTTATTTTGAATCCCTTCAAGATTTTGTTGCCAGTACCTTCAAACAGACCGGACCGTCATGGAAGTACCCGACGTAAAGTAGACATATTGCGATGGAACTAGATAGAGCAGAGAAGACACCCACTTGCCTAAAATAATGTCTCTAATTCATGAATTTGGAAAATGTGCATGTTTTCAATGCGTAAAAATGTCTACCAGAAGTGCATAGGACTTTTCAACATAATCACCGGCCACACGATGAGACCAATGGTAATAATCATCCAGCAAAAGTTTACCTAAAACTGCAGTTGAAAGTTGCATAACCTTTGAGGTATTCTCACCTTAAAGTTGAAGAAGAAGTTCAGTAGTACTGAAGTGTTCTTCGCTGCCAACAACGATAATACGCTTACGTAGCCAACTTGCGTGAGACATACCAAGAGAGCAATAAACGATCTAAGATCAACTTGTGAAGCGGTAATGGTATATTGGCAGTAAAGCTGCACCTTGTATGCGAACCAAGGGCACGATACCCTATCTCAGCGTACGGCTTTCGGCAATAGTTACGGTATTTTGGCCATCTAAAAGCGACTTATTCAAGTCTCAGAAACGAAAAAGTTCTCAAGAGTTCCGTCGGATGGTGCTCAGAA